ATTTCTTATGATTTTAAATCTGCATTGAACTTCAGATCAATATCAAAGTAAAAGGCGGTACTAAAGTCTGATTTTGTGGTGGATGTGTTCAAATTTGATCATCTTAATTCAAGTGATGAAGGATTCTGAAAGTCTTAACGGTGTTGAGCACTACTGTAAGGTTAAGCCTGCATGGTGTAAATGTTTGAAAATGATTAACAGTTTTAGAAATTTAGAAAATAAATCAAAACGTAATCAAATGTAATCAGTTACATTACTTTAATAAAGTAATTGAAAAAGATACACTACTATTACATTTTAAATAGGGTAACTTGTAATCTGTAACCTATTACATTTCCAAAGTAACCTTCCCAACACTGCTAACCTTATTGCATGTTCATTTGTAGGCGTCTCCCTTACAGACACAAAATGTATAGGTGGAGAGTATTTGAATGTATCATGCAAGTTTTGCACTAGACAGTTTACTGGTATTTGTGCCATTATTTAACAGCCAAAAAAGCATGACTTAAGTCAATATGCACTTGTGTTATTAGTAGATTACATGCACCTGATTATCATCGCTAATTGGTAGATTGCATTGGTCATTAAGGGTGATTATGGAAATGGAAATGGACTGGCTACGTCTGTGTTCTTTAATTTGCGCAATGCCACCCTCAGAACTTTCCACTCACATCGCCGCTTTTATGGGATTGCGATCTCATGCTTATTTGCCCTGTTTAGTAAATCTGGTTCTAAAAGGTTTGAAGCAAGTAAATGATGTTACCTTTTCTCCTTGTTGAATGACTGTATCAGGTAAGCGTGATACTTCGCCAACCTGCCCTGGTGGCCCAGGAGGTCCTTGTAATCCACAGTCACCCTTCACACACAAAAATACACACATTAAAAACCCAACTGTTAATAAACCTGATGAACATGTTGTTCTTGTCACAGAACCAGCTGCATACCTTCTCTCCTTTGGGTCCTTGGAAGTTCAATCCCATGTTTCCCTTCAAGGTAAAGAAACACATTAGCACTTTGACAAAAAGTGAGATAAGAAAAACTTGACACTGTTCAATTGCAGCATTCAAACTTACCTTTGGCCCTGGTGGACCAGGAGGGCCTGGACGCCCCTGAAAAACAATGGAATTTACAAATAAAATTAATTATAGTATTTGCAAAATTCTAAAACTGTATGAGCCAGATTCACAGCCCTTCATCTGAAATATGCCAGGTGGAGTCTAATTCACAAAAGCTTACAGCTGCACAAATTAACAAAGAAAGTGCAATCAGTGTCTTACCTCGTACCCTTGTGGACCAAAAGGACCAACAGGACCTGGAAGACCCGGGGGTCCAGGATCACCCTATATATCGTAACCAGAGTGTTATGAACTAGAGTTATTTCATTTTTATCGGCACTTCAAGAAATACACATTTTCTGTTAAATTGCTGGTACAGTATAGAAGGCAGAAATAGTCACAACTTTGAGATATAAAGTTGCAATTACGAGAAACTTTTTAGGGTGGCTTTAACTTTAAAGGGGTCATCGGATGCAAATTTTCCACAAGTTGATATGATTCTTTAGAGTCTTAATGAAAAGTCTATAACATACTTTGGTTAAAATCTCTCAATTGAATTGAAGCGCATTCCCTTCAAAAACAAAAGTAATCTACTGTGTCTTCAGCGGCTCAGATGTCAAGAGTAAATGACGACTGCTATGTTCCTTATTACATCCAACAACAAAACACCTCGGTCTCTTAGGAGACATTCTTGTCTACCCCTGCTCCGGCGTCGAAACAATGGCGGACTGATGACAGCTCACTCAGGGCGGGTCTAAGGTAAGATGCCAGTGTCAATCAACAATCGTGGGAGGGGCCTGCCAGTGTGACGTCACACCGCTAAGAATCTGAGAACGGCTTGATTTGAAAAAGGGGTTATGATTTATCTGGATTTTTTAAAAAAACACTGGGTGGATTTTTATCATTATAGGGTGGTTGTGTACACACACTGCCAACACACATTTCACTTCAAACAACATGTAAAATTTAATTTAGCATCTAATGACCCCTTTAAGGCGGCTTATATAGTAAAGAAATGAATCTTGTTATGATACTTGTTTGAAAGGGTACACAGTGAAATCCACTATGAGCATATCCCCAGTTTGGGTCAAATTATGCTTTGATTTCAAAATTGAGTGTTCATTTTACCCCAAACATTCATGGGAACATGAGTTTCACTGTTATTTGGAAAAATCTGGTTCTGTTGCTAATTGATTTAGAAATGCTCACCCTGGAGCCTGGCAAACCATTAAAGCCAGGATCCCCATTTTCTGAAGGCCGATTAATTTCTATGACATCCCCAGGCTCCCCCTACAGAAAAAAAAGAAAAGGTATTTATAAACATAATTTCACTCGTATCCTAATATGTATTGAAGAAAGTGTGCCACTGCAATGCAGAACATAAGCATGTGCATTACGGAATGAAATAATTGCCTTTTGTCCTATAGAACCTGGTGGACCCTGTGGAGCCAAGAAAATATGAATTATTTTGAGAATAATGACTTCAAATATTTCTGGGAGTGCATGACAGTATGCTTGCAATTTTGAAATGTGACATAAAGCAACACTTACTGGTGAACCCACTAAACCTGGAAGACCTGGACTTCCTGTGAATCCTCTTTCACCCTTGTAAAGAAAAAAAGTTAATGTTTGTTTGCTCTTTTTAAAGTTTTACTTGAGATTCTTGTTTGTAGTGTTTCATACTTTGGTTCCGTTACAGCCTGGAACTCCTTTGGGGCCTGGGGGGCCATCCTGTCCTGGGAGACCCTGTCAGTCAAAACAGCACATACATGCTTATAACTATTACTATTACTATTGAACAACATGTTATTCTATATTCTGTCAATGAGCAATGAGTTTTCTGCAAATTATGTCTGATGGAGGCATAATTTGATGATATGATCCAAGCCAAGGTGCACATATTACACTAACTGACAGTGAACTCCATTGTCAACAATATTCAATGAGGATTTTATCAATCAGTTCTTGCAGCCATAATGATGTAATCTGCTTAAGAAATGTCCTCTAAAATGTTTGTCTCTTATTGATTCACTCACTGGGATTCCTGGTGTTCCTGGGAAGCCTGGTAATCCAGAAGGTCCCTGCAAAAACAGAAACGGTCAGCATTTGTTGATAACTGTGGATCCATTATGAGCCAGAAGCTGTTACGAAGAAACTCTCACTCTTATTCCTTTAGGCCCACTCGGCCCTGTCGTTCCATCATCACCCTGTGAGAGAAACAAAGTCCAGTTTTAATAGAAGCAATAGTATAGCTGATCAATAACAGACTCGGGTTGATCAGTAATTATATATACAAATATATGAATATCACAGTGGACTGATGTCCTGACCTTCTCTCCACAAGGTCCAGTCGGCCCTTCTGGTCCTGGGAAACCTGGAACACCTGGTTGGCCTGTTAAACCTGGAATCCCTCGCTCACCCTGTCATTATAGTTAGGAAAATGTTTAAAGAAAGTCATAAAAGAGACCAAGGGAGACACAGCATCATAGAGAGCCATTATCATTATGGATGTACACAGAAGATCACATAATTCAGAAAAAAACAATAAAACAAAGTAATGTAAACATTTCATGTGATCCTATTAGACTAGCGTCTCAGATAAGATTTCAAAACTACAAACATCTAAGCATACAGCATACATTACCCAGTGCAGCACTTCTGGTAGCACAAGTAAAAATGAAAAGAGTCAGGCTTTTGTTGAGTTCATGTTCACTTCTTTTGAACTTTAAATGAATATGGTTTGGCCTAGTGAAAGGGCAAGAATAGCCACGCAACGGATGCATTAAATACATTCATATTAGCCTACAGACATCAGTCTACAGATGCGTTCCATTCGACCGTAAGTGCCCTACAAAGTGGATTTCACAGGCAATTCCAATCTGAAGGGAGCAAACAGTAAACGGCATAGGGAATAATGGAACATCAATTCATCAATACATACATATGCATATTAAAGTATAGCAATTTATATTATAAAAATTGACAATCTCCTTGGAATTGTCAATAAGTGTTCTTTTGTTTTAATGCTGTGAGCTACTCAAAGCTGCTAGTTGGTTCAGGCTTGGGGCCAGGATCTGATTTACGACATCCTGTGTCTTGGGCCTCTTGTGGAATTCTGGGCTCCTCAGGTTTCAGCCATGTTTGACCAAATCTTAGATTGTCTGATTCGGTCTGATATCCTACACTTATCTAAAGAAGCGTATTCTGTTATCATTCCTCAAACTCCTCTAATAAGTGCAACTCAAGTTTCATCTGTGTTTGATGATGTTGCAGGGTGTTCGGAATGAAGGCATTTTGTTGGGTGAAGTGAATTTCAACAGATATCCCGTTCTCTGGAGCATTGAACACTGCACAGGGACCCTGTCGACTGGAATGCAGCTTATGTACAGTACGTGGCTGTTTGTTTGTGGATAAACACTCACCTTCTGTCCTTTCACCCCACTGCAGTCACACTTTGGTCCAGTCCCACAACCATGACACGCCTGAAAACACAAAACACAATTTATTTATAAGCACACCGAACAGATTTTGGAGATAAAAAAAAGTTTGGAATAATTAAGATTTTTTAATGTTGTTAAAAAGACGTTTGTTATGTTCACCAAGGCTACATTTATTTCATCAAAAACACAGTGAAAACAATCATATTTTTAAATACTACTGCAATTTAAAAGAACTACTTTCTATTTTAAAATGTAATTTGTTTCTGTGGTGGCAAAACTGATTTTCGGCAGCCATTTCTCCAGTCTTCAGTGTTATATGATCCTTCAGAAATCATTCTGATTGAAAAAATACATATTATTATTATCTATGTTGAAAACACTCTGCTTAATATTATTGCTTAATTTAAATAATTCTATTCAGCAAGAATACATTAAATTGATCAAAAGTAACAGTAAAGATAGTTTTGTTACAAACGATTTTTATTTCAAATAAATGCTGTTCTATTGAACCTTCTATTCAAATAATGAATAACAGTTTCAACAAAAATATTAAGCAGCAAAAACTGAAACTCAAAATTGATAATAATAACAACAACTATTGCTAACAGTCTAAATAATAATAGTATTATTAATATAAAATACAAGTAGTTATTAGAAATAATAATAGCCAATAATAATTGATGATAATTAACTACCAAATGATTTCTGAAAAATCATGTGACACCGAAGACTGGAGTAATAGCTGCTGAAAATCGGTAGTGTATGGTATGCACACAAAATGATTGTAAACCATAAAACCACCTTCAGTCAATGTCATGAATGAAGTCTAAGCACAAGAACATCTTTACAGTTCGTTTAAATGAAGTTTCACCGCTCATCATCATCAGGGGAACAGTGAAGTCATTAATCCTGACAGTCCTTATTCACCTGAAATGTTTACAAAGAATATCTGCATGACATACTGACACCTAGTGGTGTGGACATAGAATTACACAGAATAGCTTTTATTACGCTACTGCTATAACCGGAGTCTTCATCTCTTGTGAGTGAACAAGACATGAAAACATTTATCAAAAGTACTATTCGTTTATGTTTTTTTTATGAGGGAAAAATTACTGGCTGAACAATTACCATAAAAAGTTAAACAAATGTACAGAGGATCTAGCCTATTACAAAGTGAAAACCCTGGCAAATGAATGCAAACTATGTCAACAGCGTAATACACACTGTTGAGTCAGAATAAATGATAATTAAATGACAGCAAATAAATGGACTGCACAGTCACAATAGATTGTAATTGCTTTCTCTTTGCGCTATAAAAGGCCCATGGGTATTTTTGATAAAAACACTAGATTGGCGCTATTTTCTTTCTGAAATTACTACTACCTCTTAAAACAAGATCACAAAGATCTCAAGCAGACAAGAGCTGTATTTATGTCAGATTTTGGAAAAATAATAAAAATTATTTTTTCTTGAGCAGCATCTTAGAATAACTTCTGAGGAATCATGTGACACTGAAGACTAATATGAATAATAATATGAATATTCAGCTTTGCCATCACAGGACTAAACTACATTTTAAAATAGGCCTATATTCATGTAGAACGTTTTTTTTTATTATTTCACAATATTGGCGTTTTACTGTATTTTTGAATAAATAAATGCAGCCTTTTCAAAAAAAAATTCTTGCCAACCTCTTTTTATCTTTTGAACAGTAATGTACAATTTGAGACAGACTTCACATCTTGTGTACTTCTATGTTTCCCTTCTATGTTTTTTGAGACAGAAACAATATTTTACAGTCTATGTTGAAAATTATTATTATTGCAAAATGAGATCACTGCTCTGAGAAGTACAACTATCTGTCTATAATTGTGGTTTCGTTTTGTGAGCTTGCGTGAGGCTTTTGGAAGACATAGTGCATAGTGAACTACACTAGTGAAAGCCACACAGAAAATGTGTGCATACTTGTTTAAGTGCACATATGAAACAGAACATCAGTCCTGAAGATCATACGCATGCAAACAGTTTTATAGCTTGTCTCCAGAATCTCAAGGTCTAAACAGACAAGCTTGTAATTTTTCTTAAGGTCAGCACAGTCATATACTGTCAAAAGTTAACTTTTCATTACATCAAAACAACTGACATGACAATGTATTGATCAGGTGTCAGTAACACAGGAACAAGGCCCTTAACAGTGCATGCATACTAAACACTACAAAACTGAAGTGTGACATTAAACACAAAGCTGCATTATCTGAAACAAGCACCCAGCTGAATATTTACACTGAATACTGCTAAAACAAAGCAAGCATACAAACAATGATATATAATGCTAGTAGGACAGAACTGGGCAGATTTCATTAAATCAAATGAGACCTCAATATTTAAGATCAAGGCATCCTTGAACAATATCACAATAGAAACAATACAAACCCCTGACAAATAAAAGGCCTTATAAAAAGATTCCTCTTTTTGCAGATTATCTCATGATGACCTGCAGAAAAGCGGACAAAAACAAATCCTGACAAGCACACCTGCTTGATTCAGCACCATTATGCTATTGAAAAAGACAAGCACAAAGAGTCCTGGAAAATAAAGGAAAAGATGAGCTGTGAGCACTGAATGTGCAATGCACTTTCTTAAAAGTAGATGACTATACTGTATGTTATGTGTAAACTACCCTTAAGATTTTGGATTAAATGTATATGAATGTTTGTGGAAAAGTGTATATAAAATGCTGTTTAAATTAGTTTTTGATATAGCATGTCACATCAAAGGACATGCAAACTTAAGTATTTCATGTCAAAAACCTAAATGTTCGAATGAACAAATACTGTACTTCCACAAAATGAATTCAAAAAATGATGTATTGATGCATTCAACAACATGCCAAAACCCATTAATTGTTTTATATGAAGTGAAATACTCCTATACTCCTAGCATAAACCTTTATGCATTTTTACAATAAAAAAATATTTTTTAAAGAGAGATTTTGTCATATTTTGCTATCCTTTGGTAACACATTTGTCCCCAAATTATATAAGTCTGCACACACACACACACACACACACACACACACAAAAGAAAAACCTTAGCATAATTCAATAATTCTCACTACTATGCACAAAACAAGTTCAAAAGTTTATACACTACAGTTCAAAAGTTTGGGGTTGAAAGAAGTCTCTTAAAATATAGTTAAAATATTAATACTGTGAAATATTATTACAAGTGAAAATTATTTTTTTCTATTTTAATATATTTTTAAATTGTAATTTATTCCTGAATTTTCAGTAGCCATTACTCTAGTCTTCAGTGTCACACGGTCCAAGAAACATTGCATATTATTACCTATGCTTTATATTTCTTAATATTACAGATGTTTTTGATCAGCTTAACGCATCCTTGCTGAAAAGTATTCATTTATTTAAAAAAATATACTGACCCTAAACTATTGAATGGTAGTGCATCAAACATGAGCCAACAATAGTTGCTAGTAAGTGTGGAAAAGTAGAGGAAAGGTTTTTTTGGTAATAGATTTTAATGGTGGTGTTGACAAATGTTTTTGGATGTCTACTCTAGAGGGCAGAGTTTAGATCTACAGAAAGATCAGATACAGACAAGTTATGCTCTCTGAGTCTATGGACAGATGGGGAGATGAACAGGGCCACTCTGTGGAGAACATTAAGCAGTGCAACAATTCATCCACAAAGGGAATGAGCAGATTCCAGTCTAGGGCTCGGTGGATCAGAGGTCCCCAACCACCGGGTCGCGACCCACTACCGGGCCGTGGAAGAATTGCTACCGGGTCTCAAGAACGTTCTGGGAAAAATGTGTATAGATATGACGCTCTGTTATTTATTTATGTTAATGATTGTTCGAATTATTCTGTATTTTCTTTGTATGCGATTGATATGGAGTAGCAATTTGACAATTTTAAATAGTGACGTAACATGTGACCAAGTATGGTGACCCATACTCAGAATTAGTGCTCTGCATTTATTCCATCCAAAGTGCACACACACAGCAGTGAACACACACACACCGTGAACACACACCCGGAGCAGTGGGCAGCCATTTATGCTGCGGCACCCTGGGAGCAGTTGGGGGTTCGGTGCCTTGCTCAAGGGCACCTCATTCGTGGTATTGAAGGTGGGAGAGAGCACTGTACATTCACTCCCCCCACCTACAATCCCTGCCGGTACGAGACTCGAACCCGCAACCTTTGGGTTACGAGTCCGACTCTCTAACCATTAGGCCACGACTTCCCCGTTTCACACAATTTCATGTTAAATAAGTAAATGAAAGATTGCTCTGATCTGCCACATATTAGGAGTTAAACGGATCGCAGTTGATCCGTAATACGTACGGATGAGACCCTACCGTTCGGCACGCACGTGATTCGCAGATTAATTTGCCAATTTACACGTACAAGCAATTTTAAACCACAAAAAGAAGAAACGAATGACAGCTCAATTCGTTACTCACGCGCTGTTCTCGCACACAATCAAAGCGCGCACAAGAGACATGTTTCAGACAGCGTATACAGACCTGATGCGTACACATAAAATTAGCCTGTCAAAAACCCTTCACTGCATTGTTATTCTCTGTGCTTTAAATATTTTTTTTCTTGCTTATC